AATCAGCTGAGTTCTCAGTTTTGCTTTCTGCTCAGTGGTAAACTTAGGTAATCTATGTCCAACAATGTCTTGCATTATTTAAGGATAATCCCCAAACATAGTTGTGTCCAGATGCCTAAAAAAAAAATTTCAATTAAATTCAGATTCCAACTTTTTCAAAACATTTCAATATACTTATTAATTACTCACCATCCCATTATAAAGTCAAGTGCACGGTCAACGGTCGCACCATTTTGTGCATCCTTAAAGTCATGTGGTTCAAACCAAGCCGGACTATGTGCGATTCCGATCTTCCCACCTTTACACTATGGCCATAAATATATCACAAAACAAACTATTTTCAGATTCGGAAGACGATAAAATAGCTATGATGATTTATATATTACAAACATACTTTTTCGCATTGTCGAAAAGCTTCAACGGCTTCTGCGTGAGCGTTGAGCAGGTTGTGACTGACTAGATAAGCCTCATAACCTGATCTTCCACCTAGGCATTCTCCCTTGACGGTTCTTTCCTTGGCGTAAGGAGAACAACGTCCTGGAGCTTTCTTACCCACGTCATAACCGGCGTGTGCGAAAACCCATGGCTCGTTAAAAGTGATCCAATGCTTCACTTTTCCACCATACTCTTGGAAAACATACTCAGCATACTCCCGAAAATCTTTCCTATTTTGGCAAAAGGATATTACATTTATTTAAATCACGTTATATTATGGTTATATACTTTATATTGAAAAAAAAAAAAACCTTTTTTACTTACACAATGTTTGCGCTTAAGAAGCCGCCATATTCATTTTCTAGAGATTGTGGAGTGTCCCAATGAAAAACAGTCACAAACGGAATTATACCTAATTATACAATATTAAACAATGAACTTAATTAGTTAGGGGTAAACGACCTGTGTCCCCCTAGGAAGTTTCATATAGTATCACAACTACACAGAATTCGGACCTCGACCGCACCCCACACAGATCAGAAGTTAAACTCCAGTTTCCCTCCAAATCAAAAGTTCGAAACCTTGGTCCCCAAAATTTTGAATTTCGTGGTTTATCTGTGGTTTACTGTCCCGAACCGATGCCATATCTGTGGTTTACTGTACCGAACCGATGCCAAACTAAAACCCAGTAGAATAAACCGAATGAAATCC